AAAAAATCACCTTCCTACTTAGGGAACTGAATGGGGAAAATGTCTATGAAACTGGGACTTTATAGGAGAAAAGCAAATGCATAGGTATTGAAACTGAAGCATAAGATCTTGCATCTGATCTGTTAAATATTCCATCAACAAGGTCAAGAGTAAAGACAAGCCCAGCCATTAAACTGAAGCAAGAATAAGCTTTAATGAAAAAAAATAAGAATAAGAAAGTGTAAGTAAAAAAAGGGGATAAAAAGAACAGTTTGTCCTCTTCACTTTCTCGAGTGGAAAAAGAAATTATTTTATACTAAGAAAAAAAAAAAAAAAAGTGTATATAGCATTTAAACAAACAAACAAAAAGTATCAACCATTTTAATGAAAGAGTACTCAGTATTTTCATGGAACTATAAAAGGGAGTGAGAATAAGTGTTATGGCAAAAAGCCTGGGCTCAGCAGCTTTGTGTGGGAAATGTTGAAATGTGACTGTGATTTATAATGAGAAAAGGTATCTACAACATACAATTTTCTACCTAGCTGCAAATAATAATTCATAGTGATGTCCCTTCCAGATAAAATACCTTTGCAATGTAGGACTCATGTGGTAAAATGATCATGATAAATGTCAGACCAGTGCAGGTAACGGCTTTACAAACCATTAAGATTAGCTGGCTCTTTTTTTTATTTGATGATAACAGTAACCATGCTGTGACTCTATGTGGTAATAATATCTCAGTACTGATAAATGCCAGAGCCAGGCAGAGGTGTTTATCATTCCCGGTTCAGAAATGCTGACTAAAGTTACCACATGTTGCCTGTTTTTCTTCTTTTAAAATAGGCTAACAATTAACAAATAGGCTGATTTGCAGAATGATTTTTTGTATGATTTTGACGAATTCTTTTCTTCAGCGCAGAGCTAAATCTCACTTCTCCTCTATGGCAATACCTGTGGCGTTGGTACAGTGAGACCTAAAATGAAGTTATATATTTTTGTAAATCTCACGGAATACTGTCTTTGTTTTAGTGACACTGCTTTTTATTTGTTTATTTATTTTACAATTAAATCTTACAAGAATCTGTTGGGAAGTTGGTAACTAACCTGATATCTTAGTCAGCACAGAGAGCACAGACACTTGCTTAAAAAGAGCATAAAATAAGCTCTTACCACACTAAATTTCCTCACACATATTCTCTATGGACAAATTGTGAGTGTATCCTTGTGAATTTTTCCCAATCCCAGTGTTTTGGTCCATTGAAATCCATTAAGCTTTCCTGAGTGAAAAATAAAATAGGGTAAAATAAAAACGAGTTTTTATTGAAAAGTTGCAGCGGAATAGTTTCTCAAAAGAACTGATAAATTCTTTTGTATGATTATGAATGAAGAAAGTATGAGTAAAATGAATAGCAAAATATTTGATATTTCCTAACACAATAAGGTGTAATGCTACTGATAGAAATTCATAAATATAGCTCGGTTAATTATGATGAGAATAAAAGAAACAAGGATGACATAGGAAGAGTGTCCACCACAGAATTTGGATCACTAGATGAATGTAATTCCGAAGTGAAATTTGACTTAAGTTCTGGTCTCTTACTACTACTAGGAGATATTAAACCTACACTGACAGTTTAATAGTCTAATAAAAGCATAAAAATGTAATTCTGCAAACCATCCTTTCGACGTAGAGGACTTTTAATCATTGTAAATTACTCTTGCTCTCAATTAAGAACATGGAAGGTATGATACATTCTGTTTTTAACCACATATTAATTATGGCTTTTCTTGTTAAGATACCAGATGCAGTATTGGGCAAAGTACTATCCTAAATGGCACTCAAAATATTTTTCCTCTTTTCTTTCCTCTTAGAAATCCAAGACAATGCCACACGCATAAAAGCCGTAAAGACCCTGGTGAAAAAGCTCCCTAGGCCAAACTATGACACAATGGAAGTCCTCTTTGAGCATCTAAAGAAGTAAGTAGAACTGTAGTACAAAATAATTGATAATTTTAAAAGGAATCTCTGTGTGGTGTCCAAATCTTATTGGAAATGTCGTCCAAAATACAAAAGATAATTACATTCTTTGGCAAAACGAAACATGATTTATGGTACCTACGTATATCCTATTTCTGCTCAATACATCGGTACGTCTAAACAAAAGCTGCAGTTTTTCCTACTTTGGTGCAGTTAGACAGATCAGAATTACTCTTGAACACTGAATTGGGCAAATTCACCATGTTCCAGCGTGCGAGTCCAACTTATTCCAACTGAAGTTGGAATTACTTTTGGATCACCATATTTTCATCATCCAGGTTCTTGATGTTCATTTTGCTTTCTAGCACTCATGATATGCTGAGGTATGCATTAACAGAAAAATACTTAATAAAAAAAATATGTTATGAGCTCTTGTATTACCTGAAGAATCTTGTGACAACACAGAATGTCTAAGAAGTAGTTAAGAGTGACTTGGAAGTACACCTTTCCTCTGCTAATGTTGCTGAGATATGACAGAGGCAAAGAAATTATATTGTGAGGCTCCTCCTTATCATTCCTCTACAGTTTCCACACCCACTGAGTTCAGTTTTTAAGAGGTTTCAGCCCACAAATTCTACTCATGATCTCATGTTCATCTTGGGTTTGATCTTCATGTTTTGCAGCATTAACAGTAAAAATGAATGTAGACTACGTGCTCTCACGGAAACAGATCTGCAGCTGTTTTATGTGATGAATGACTGTGCAGAAATGGCAGACCACAAGAGAGGGTCTTGTGGTCCTATAAGCATATGAAGGACACAATCCTGTTCCTCCCCTCTTGGCTGTCCGGTATTTAGGACTAACTAGTGCCATTTTGGCGCAGTCACTTTTCAGCCAAACAACCCTTAAAATCGAAGGGCTAGACAGGATTGAGGGACCAGTGCAGTCTCCGTACACAGAGAAGCATTTCATGCCAGCAATGACAAAATGAATGAATGACTCCAAATAAAAGACTGCTCCAAGCTTAAAATGAATGATGCCTTTATGCCGACCATTTCTGTTGCATTCGCCTGACATGTATATATTAAAGATCCTTTAACTTGTCGTGTAGCATCCAGCTGAACAGGCAAAATGAAGTCCATATAGCTGTGGGAATGTCCCTATTTAATTAAGGATGGAAAAATGTTAAACGGGCCATAGAAAGACTTAGTTTGCCCTTGCTGAGAAACATTTTCTGTGTCTTCATCTGGGGTAGCCTGTGCACATATTCTCTCCTTTTGGGGGTTATCTGGAGAAAGATGATAATTTATTACTGTCAATGGAGGACTAATACGGAAAATTATTTCTTGGGAAGAGCCTGTGTGCAAGAAGTGGGTACATGCTGTCATTGGACCTATACCATATGCAAAATTTACAGCATCAAATGCAGCATCTATCCTAACCTGAAGAAAGTTTTGTTACTGTGTCTTAGGAGAAAGATATCAGGTATACACAACAAGTCTTTGATCTTACATTTTAATCACTTGATTGATACTCTGGAGACCTGGGTTCAGTTCTTGGCTTTGACAGGATATTTGGTGTGACCTTGGGTAAATCATTTAATCTCTCTGTGCCTTGGCTCCTTGTTTACAAAATGATGATAATGCTTCATTTGTCTATTTTGGCTTTTTAAAGCATTATCTGCAAGGGACAGCAATTTTCTCTGACTGTGTATGTATAGAACAACTGGCAAAACTGGACTAAGGTTGGCGTACTGGGCTTTTGCTGTTGTTTGGCATGGTTTTTTATTTGTTTGGGTTTTTTTTTTCCTTTTTATTTTCCTTTTTTTTTCTGGGGGGGAGGGGGGGGGTGTCTAGGGCAGGGAACAAGTTACTTGTAATAGAGATAATAAATTACCAATATTTCATCTTGCATATATTCACAATATCTGGCTTGACTGCTGATGGGAGTGTGGATGCGTGGATGTACTACACAAATAAGCACATGTTCTTACCCAAGTATCACTGCAGAAAGCATGGTGAACCCAAAGGTATATCACTGCAATACATTACACAGAAATGTACGGTAGAATGATGTAGTATTTAAGCCATCAGAGCATTACGGGTGAGATCTCCTAAGTCTCTCTGAAGGTGGCCAGTCTCCTATGCCACACAAACACATCCCCAGGGAAGGAGAGGACTCTTCTCTGTCAATATGGAAGTAGTAGCAGAATATATATTCTATATATCAAAATATAGGGAAAAGCTAAAATGTTCCCTTGAATTTATAATTAAGAAAGACAAGTCACAATGGCCCCATGGCTCCATAAATGGGAATATAGAAACATATGTGCATTACTATTAGTGGCAAGTTGTTTATATTATTAAATCAGAGGAAGTTCTAGTTGCCAAATATTTGAAAAAACTAAGTAAACTTGTTTAATTTGAGGCATGTTATTGCAGTCTCTATATTTGCTTGTGCAGACAGTAGTTCTTGCCCAAAGTGGAACTCATCTTCAAGGGGTTTCTCATGGGAGAAGTTGAAGGACCTCAGTTATGCTGTTTCTGTGGCAAGTGGGTGTTCAGCATGAGAGTTCAACTTTAGCTCAGAATGCTGTGTTTATCCTAAATTACAGACTACAACAAGGCTGCACTATGGTCCCATTCTGCAGTGCTTCAGTCTGCAGAAGCAGTCCAGATTAAGCACATGTAAACGTACTTCAGGTGGATTTTTCCTTAGAAACCCAGACAAAGAAACTGATAAGAGAGAGAGAAAGGCCTGGCAGCAGGAATTAACACCAGTAACATATATCTTTCTTAAACCACGCCTTCAGAAGTTGCAAGTAGTCACAGTGTAGTGTATGAAGCCAGGAGGAGGATTAAATGCTTGTAGTTGCAGTACCTGTTCTTTTGAGTATTTTGAATTTGATGAAAAAAAGTCCGCTATTCATCTTTGCATGAAATTTATACTCCCACTCGTATTAACAGAAGAGAAAATACGGAGCTGAACAGATTTATTGTATGGCTCTTTCCAGTCTAGTATAACAAACTTCTTTGTTAGGACTCATGCTGAAAATAATTGAGTCCAGCTACGATTAGGTTTTTACTACCTCTTCCTGAAGATGACCAAATCCAGCATTACAACTTACACATGAAAGAAAGAAAGAAACAAACTAATAATAATAATAATTATAATAATAATAATAAAAAGAGTAAGGATTTTTTCAAATAAAGGCTACATAAAACAGCCTGTTCTACTTGAGGATGCTTAGAGTATTTACCTGCTGTATATAGCCCATATGTTTATATTGTATACATTTGTGAAACAGTCACATTTCCTCAGGACTCAGCACTTCCCCGTCACTTATTTACAAGTGGTTTTTACTCCCAGACAGAGTGAGCTAACCACAGCTACCAGATAAAAGCGACAGACCATTCTGCTCCTATTTTGCAGGCATACACGGGGCATGGGATGATGCAAAAACCTTGCAGTGTCTCTGTGCACAGATGTGAACAGAGAACAATCCATCCCTTCCCAATAGGACAATACTGTCAGCAGTAATTTACTCTCACAACTATAATTCAGGTGAGTCAGAAGGACTTTTACCTCTTTAGGGATCTCACAGCATTCTATGATCAGCATTAGAATAGCTATTGCACACCTCTAAGGAAACTGAGGCACCAGGAGCTTAAAAGACTTAAAAGACTCCACATAAACCAGCAGTATAACTGAAAAGCCTAGAGAAAGTTGGGGTTTTTTTTGCATAGAATCCTCTGCAGAGAGCCCCAGACCCTCTCTCCCCCAGTGCAAGATGCAGGAGGGGAGGTGGTGGCTGCGGGCGCCTGGCTGAGCCCCGTGGGCCGCGCTCCGAGCTGGCGCACAGGCCGCAGCTCTGCTCCAGGAGCTGTGTGCCTGCATTACACAGCACTGTGCCTGAGCTAATAAGCTGCGCTTATTAATGTTAAATTAATGAATCTCAGCCTGCTCTGCTTATTAGGTTGAGCTCCGTGCCACCGCGAGGCAGCTCTGCGGCTCCCAGGCCCAAGCTGTCTCACATCTGACCAGGCTGGAGCACAGGGCAGCCAAGCTGGAGTCTGCCCTTACACATCCATGTGGGCACCTCTGCAAAGGGATGCACTGCAGGCAAAAGCCGTCGCCTTGCTTATTATTCTCCTGCACAGAACAGGATAATACGTGTTATTTACAAAAGTATAAAATGGATGTGGAAATAATTAAATGGGAAGATGGGGCCAGCCTGATGCAACCATCACTCTCCCTTACGTGGAAAGCACTGAACCCAGATGCCCAACTGTGGAAGATATTCTTCCAGCAGCAGCATCTGCCTCCTTGGCAGGCACTTCAGGCGAGTTGTCTGGGGAGCTCTGCAGTTGCCTCTTGGTCTGTCACGTGGATCTGTTACTGTGGCCTATCTGGCTGCCTTGTCCAGACTGAAGCCAATTCCTTTCGATTCACCTTTGAATCCAAGACGATCTTTTTTTATTATTATTTTTTTCTCCATTTTTCCTGTATAGTATATAGCACAGCAAGACGTTTTTAGACACCATTTGGGCTTTTTTGCCCTTTCAGAGAGAGAATGGTGATTTCTTTCCTGACTGCTTTCCCCCCACTTAATTCATTCCTGTAACTGTTTGTATGCATTTTGGACATAAGCTCCTCATCAAGAGTAGAATTAATTACCCAAGACATACCCACTATCCAATATACCGTCTAACAAAAGTATTAAGTATTGCAAGATTCATGGTTTATCTGTTTTGAAAAACAACCTTTCCCCCATGCCCATAGCTCTATGGACAGAGAAAGCACCCAAGCTGAACAACTCAAACACACACACACACCCCCCTCAAAGCTTGCAACACACAGCAGCTTCATTCTGCAAGGCATTGGCTTTTACAAGCTGCATGCAACTGAACGGACTTATTTCTACCTATTAAAGATTGGAACAAAAAAAAAAAGCCTTGCATAGAAATAAGCCACAATAGCCTGCACAGCAGGAAGCGATG